AAAGTATTTATAGTATGATAGATTTAGATCTATTTTTATCTACGTAATTTTGAGAGTAACAGTATTGGTGAAGTATAGGGTAGGGCGGAGCACAAAGGTCCAATTCGACTTTGAGTAATTATACTGTCTAAACCAAAATAACTAAAACACTACAAATAACACCTGTTTAACAAATAAGTATCGAACCATGTTCAATAATATTTCGAATTAATTTCTGATTATAAAAATGTTTTCCTAAAATTTATAACCGGTCCTTTTTTAACTAATAGGCTGGGTAGCTCATTACACATTTTTGACCTCTTCTTTAAAATAGTTTGGATAAAAAATTCTAAATTTTAATTATTTTTGTTATAATGATGTGTACTTTTTCACCCTCGGACCTTCATGCCCCGATCCACCCTATGTGATAAAAATAAATATTAATTATAATTATAATAATTAATTCGAGAATTATTTATAAGCCAAACGCGATAAAGACGTACAAAGAATGGAAGTCGATTACTTATAAAGGTATGTTAAAAGATGAGAAGGTGTAAGAAGCAAGAAATAAAAACATGAATCGCGACACAAACAGCGAGTATCACGATTTGATTAGTGTAATTACAAGACAGATCCGTACAAACGCGATCATGGTCCATGCATTGCGCCCGGTATTGCAGTAGTGTGGAGGCAGTAACAATCGTTAGCGATGCTGTGGGCGTCTACCTAGGCGTGGTCGTCCGCCATTTTATAAAAAGGCTGTGTTTTGTTTAAGCTTATCTGATGCGATTGGACGAGTATAATGTACGGCGACCGCACTAAAATGCGGCAATAGATACGCCGCGTATTCGTACGCAAAACTCGCGAGCGGCGGCCGGTACGACGATACGGCGGTACGGCGGTATGCTTTTCCTGCAGTGCCAAGCCATCGAACAATCCGTTTTACAGGTACGTCATAAGGTGCAACTTGAGGAAGTCGGCTGTATGATGTACGGCTCGTCGTGACGACCCTAGGCGCTTTTACAAACCGACCCGTACGATCCGAATCGCAAGACGAGAATGCAAAATGTCCCCTCCGCGTTGTACATAGACGACTGCCTGTTCTCGGGAACAAGACGCGCTATTCTGCGGTCTGTGCGTCGCGCGTTTAGTGATCGTACAACGTACGACACAAAAACCCACGGTTAGACCCCAGGAGCACCGCCCATACGCTCGACGCTTAGACTCCGCCCAATCTCGCCGGAGCTTTCGCAAGTCGTCCAATAGCGCGAGGTACGCGAGCCGAGCGACGAGCCGAACGCGTAGCCGAACCTACCCGAGCGCGTCCACGAGCTACGCGACCTGAGCTTTCGTCCGGAGAACTTAGCGCGCCGAGTTTCAGTTACGGGCTATCGCCTATCCGCGCAGTATCGTAGTGTCGCTGCGCGCAACGCAGACGCATCCCATCGCTAATTTAACCGATTGCGTTTTCGTTATCGCCATTGTCGTAAACGTGACCGCGCGAGTGACCGGTGATTTTTTATTAAGTTACGTGTTATCATTGGTTTTATTTGTTATTGTGTGTTTAACATTTGTGATCTCGGCAACTATTTGCCGTTTGGTGTGTGCACATTTTGAACACAAAGTGTCATCAGGATTTTTAACGTGTGATGTGTTGTGCTTTTAAAAGAGATTTGCGCAACAAGGTGGGTTTTGTTTTATGACACGTGCGGTGTATTTTTGTTAGTGTTTTTTAATCATACGTGTGCGCTTCGGAGTTCGCTGTTCTTTGTAAAAATAATGCAACAAATGGCACAAGAAAGCGACCCGAACTTCATCATGTCTGGATTTTATTTCATACATAACGTTTGTGAATTTGAAGAAAATTTATACAATTTATTGCTTAGAAAATATTAATACCAACCAAACAAACTAAAACTTTTAATTTTCTAGTATTCGCAACTTTTAACCCTTAACGTTTGAGCATCGTCTTACTCGCATCATTGTAAATATTTTAAAATAATCGCGAACACGCGGCATGACGTGACAAGAAGAATTTTGGGCTTTATATAATTTTTAATGTAGTTAGAAAATAAATTTTAATATTGCTCAATAAGCAATATTAGACGGACTCCAATCTACTCAAATCTAATAGTGATATTAATTATCCAACTTCTCTAGCTTTAAAAATGAAGCACTTAATTACTTAAAAATTCTTCGACCGTTAAAGGTTTAATGTTATTAAATAAATTTTACCTATTTAAAAATGCTCTACCAAAACAAAATTCCAAATTTCGTTTCTGATAATCAGCACGAAATCATAAAGTAAAAATAAAATACTTGAAATTTGGATACGAGGTGCGACTTATTCTCTTATCGTCGTGTTTGCTGTCCAAAACGTTATTAAAGATTTACAATTGAGATATCAAATATTTCAATTTTTGTCAATCGATAAGATTAATAATTTAATGTTTGACGTGAACACTTTTTTATATGTTCATAATTTATAATTACACAAGTGTTGGTAATGTTATCGCGATTTATAAAGAACAAAATTTAAAATGACAAGATTAGATTAGGAATGATGATTTCAGATTTTTTTATCTTCATTTGATTTGAGAAATAAGTTTTTTCTAATAATATAGTAGTAAAAATCATTAAAATTGTTAAGCAAAATTTTATTACCAATATTCATGAAATTACTAATATTTGTGGTATTATATTACGCTAAAATCATATATGAAACTAGTTACTAAATTTGCAATAACATCCCATACAATAACAAAATTTTTCTCTATAAAGCTTTTTAGTCTAATGAGCTTTAGGATTTCGGAGTAGTAATCTTTAATAATTTTTAATAATTCTTGCCGATATATAAAATTTTATCAAACAATAGATTTAAACTTACATTTTAATATAACTTGAGTTTGTATAAATTAAATTTTTCTAGTTCAAAAGTCACTAAATTTATACGAAACAAAAAATATTGTTCAAATTAAGTTCACTAAATTTATTCATGATAATTGCTTAACTTTTATACTTTATTTGTTCTATATACTATTTTTTATTTATTAATATTTTAAAACAAATGAATAAAAATAAATTAAATAAAAGTAAATTCACTAATATCTAAAAACAAATAATATTTTATTGTTTTTTTCACTTTTATGTATAAATGACTTCATTTTAGATTTCTGATATAAATACAAAATACTTATTGAATTATTTTTTTTTAATATCATAAATAAAAATTTAATATAAAAATAAAACATTCAATATATAAATAAAAATATAAATTAAATAAGTTGATACATTTTTTGGTTGTATTTTTCATTATTTTCACTATAAATCTCATTTTGTAAAGTTATGTAAAATTCATGTAGTATAAATAAAAAATAACTTGAAATGCGTTATATTAAAAAAATATTTTTAATTACATAAAATATTTATATATGAATTATTAAATATTTGTACTTGATTTGGAAAAAGCTAATCGTTATTTTATTCATTATTTAATTAATTCCTTATTTTGTTTATTTACATAATCATCACACAGGTCATGTTGTAATTATTGATAATGTTAATCCGAGTTCAGTAGTAGATTTCATTATCAATTATATTTATAGACTCAAAATTGACAGCAGGAATTAAGCGGATATTTTCTAGATAATGCTTTCTAAACATTGAAATTACCTAAAAAAAATATATTGAAAAGTAGTTTGTTGTAGTTTATGAAATATTGTAGTTTTATAATTATAAAAATGTCTTCCGCAAAATTTTGAATTAAACATGATTATATTATATATTATATATAATTAAATTATATAATTTTAAAAGAAAGTGTACTTGAATTTGAAAATACCCTATTTTTTCATTAGATGGATTTAATCCAATATTTAGTTAAATAATAATTTATTTAATCTTCAAATAAATAAAACTGCTTAAGCAATGCTAGTTTAAAAAATTATGTTTGATTCTTGTAGTTATATTGTGAGAAACTACTAAGGTCACCCGAATCATATTTAAATGAATTAACCAAACGATTTAGAGTAAAAAGTTTAAAAAATGTGTTTTTCTTTGGAGATAAACTCTCCAAAGCCATGAAATCTAACACATAATTTAAAAGGATAATATTTATACTGATTGACTTTATAAATTTATACCATACATCATTCAATAAGTCCGTATGACCATTTATATTTGAATAGTTGTAGTTGAATTTCGAATTTTAGTAATTCCATACTAAAGTAATACTAAAATATAAAAATACTATAGTCATCATTTCGATTGGTTATATGAATATGTCATACATCACTCAATAAGTCCGTAGGATTATTTACATTTAAATAATTGTACTTGAAAAGCGAATTTTAGTAATTCCATACTAAAGTAATACTATTATAAAAAATACTAACATCAACATTTCGATTGATTGTATAAATATATCATACATCACTCAATAAGTCCGTATGATTATTTATATTTGGATATTGAAATTCTGATAAATTCTCAGTTGAAATGTGGACTTCAGTATTTTTTTATTCTAGTATTACTTTAGTGTAAAAATACTAAAATTTGCATTTTAACTACGAATTATTCAAAATTTCAATATCCAAATAGAAATATTCATATGGACTTATTGAGAGATGATAAAGTTCTTATGGTTCAAATTTCAAAAATAATAATAATAATAATAACTACACTAGTGTGAATTATGTTGAATTTACATTAAAACTATGTATTAAAACGCACGTGCAATATTTTAATGTTTATTCAACTATATTGTGACTTTTGAATTTTTATAAATATAATACAGAATTATATTTATCTTGTATATGCTCTAAATATTCTAAGACCTAACCTTTTGCAATATTTTTCATGCATCTTATTACCCATATCAAAATACATTACATTTACTTATTTTATCAATATTTTTTATTCGATAACAGATTTTTGATAAATCATTCATAACGAGTTCATGAATTTCTACTGATAAAGTAATTTGTATCATATATATCAAAAATATCTGTCTTTTCTTTCAGATCGGTGTATACGACTCGCGGGTCCGCTGCGCGTCGGCTCAATTCTTATCAGAAAGAATTCGGCAGAGTGGTTCGTCGATCCAAAAAATTTACCGTCAGATACCAGTGGCAATCGCTTTCTAAACGGACGATCACAGATGCCTGCTGATGATACATCATCTTAACAATTACCCAAAAATATCAAGCCGTGATCAATTAAACTATCAGCGCAATGGATGTGCACATAAAGTAGTTCCGTCGCGTTCCAACTCGATTTTCGCAACAATCGAGCTATATATGATTGCAGATATACGTATGTTTTAGACTGCTGTATCATTCTGTGTGTTGAAAAGAGAGTACTGTTTGTTAAAAGTCTGATAGAGAATTATTTTCTACAAAATGGATATGAGCACCGACGCATCGGTGCCGCGGTGGTACGAGAGTCCGCGGTTGCCTCAGAGCCATCAAGGAGGCGTTGGGTCGCAAGGTATCGAAAACGGAGTCCACGAACCGGTGTCCGAACACATGGGCGCGTTCTATCACGCCCTTGAAGGGGGCCACCGGAGATACTACCATCAGCAGATGCACTCCTATACGACGGCACACAGTGAGTTTTCCAGTATGTCATCTGAATTTATCAATTTTTTGCAGACGCTGCATTCATGTTCCGATTCGACCTAGGTACCGATTCTATAACGTTCATCAGTTAGGGATAATGCTAGTTGACTATTCACGTGAAAATAATCAGATTGTGACTAAAAAGTCACATAATTAAATATTACCAAAAAATATTCAAATAAGATTTTGTGTTTTCAATTTGAATATACATGGTTATAATTACTGTTTTTTTTTTTCTCTTAAACGACGGCAGACAGTGAGTTTTTCTGTATGTCATCTGTTTTTATCAATTTTTCATAGACACTGCATAAATGTTTTGATTCGGCCTAGGTACTGATTTTACAACAAAAAATAGTTTCATCGTTCAGGGCATGGGGATAAACATAGAACAAATTTCATTTACCCTGTTTTAGTGTTTTCCGTACTTCACAGAGGGTCTACTGCGCCCAAATCCATCAGTCTTTTTAAAGAACTGATTATTTTACTTAAAATACACGTACTTTAAACGTTTAATCTTTTTTTCTTATATAGTTTTGAAAACATACTTTTGATTTAGGTGAAAATATGCACTCTATATTTAACTTAAAATCTAGAGTGCTAAAAATATTCAAATTGAAGTAATGCAAAGCGGCCGTGTTTGCAATATGTTTATACTTTTAGTCGTATACGTTTAGAGTTAACGTTAGTTGTGATAAACCACGGGAAAATAATCAGCTCATTTATTTATTTATATATACTTTTATATTCATGGGTCTAATCTATAAATATTATTTAAATCATTCGTCGAGCTTATTCCATAAGTAACTGAAATCATTTTAAAATATACATACAATAAACGTGTACTACTATTTACGAAAGTAAATATTTTATCGTTCAAATATAATGTTTATCATCAAGCTCTACATAATAAAATTTATTCTATTTCCAGTCAAGCCTAAATATTATTATTTAAACGATTATAATTGATGAATTGATTGAAAATATCATTAAAATAATTTTAATATTAATAAAATAAATAAATAAAATTTCTGGTTGTACAAAAAATTAAATGGTGAGGCTACATAGATAACTATTAGACGGAAAATTGTTGGTGAAATTGAATTAAAAAAGTTCTGCAAGATCATAAAAGGCAAATTTAAAAATAAAGTTAACCCTCTATGGGCGCGCATACTTTCAGGTCACATTTCAAATTCTTCGATATTTTACCACATAATAACATTTTCATGCACAAAAGTGCAAACACTTTAGACCACTGTGACTCGAAATAATTCACTAATACCAAAAATTTGTACAGACTTTTTGTTTTTATTTTACATATATAGGCTTATAATTGTTGATTTTTTGTGTCCCTAATTTTTTTGAATGTAAAACAAAAATTTGGTCTCTTAACCAAGCATATTCAGTAGTAATTGAATACTTCGATAATACCTTCGATCTTATTTTAAATGATGAAATTATAAAATACATGACAAAACAATTATATAATATATTAAATATAACAATTATTTTAATTCTAGTTAATATTATTTATGTGGTAAAAATATTACAAAAACCACAAAATCAAATTTCAGTTAGTGATATTAAATACTTTTCGAATGTTTTCGCCCAGCAAAACTTTTCAGCTAGCAAAAGTATATAATCCATTAACAATTAACGTTGACATTAATAATAAATAATCATTAATTTCTAGCATTAATCAATTCTATTTCAAAAATAAATTTGTTAGTTACATTTAAATACTCATATAAATTTTATAATCTTGCGACGGCAAACTACATATATGAAATCTCTTAGTCGAGCGCGAATAAGGCAACGTTTAGCAACTAGACAAAGCCTTCGTGATAAAAGCACATATATTATATTGCATTTGTACATTGCAATAACTCAACATATGTAACAATTTGCTACAACATAATTTTAATTAGCAATCAATCTACGGTTTTTATGGACAATAATTATATAAAACATTGAAAAAATGAAGCATTAAAACGGAACACTTAAATTGACAGTACGGTTCGACGTGTATAAACTTGTTATGTAAAGTTGCTTAGGGAAAATGAATATTTCCTTTTATGGGAGGAAAATTATAATATATTTTGGTCAACGCAATAAATGGTCATTTTTTGATAATTTTAAATATTTTTTAATACAATACAACGTTCTTAAATTAATAAAATTGAATATAAATCAAAACTATTATGAATAATTTATTTTTTTATCACAGTACTGTTTTTTGCACTATTTATTAAATATTGAATTTAACAAACGTTTTGAGATTTGGACTTAGAACGTCCGTGTTATCCGATGCACCTATGACTAAGTGTTTAAATTAAAAAACTATTTTTTTATAAATAGTGCAAATAAAGAGTGAGTATGTATATATATATATATATATATATATATATAAATAATATTTTATTACAAGCTCTATAACAATTTGTCAACAAAATAGGCATTAGCCGATATAACTGTAATGGCAATTAGGAAAATGCTATACATTATTCTGACGTTTAAACATACCCACAAATAGTACTTATAAATCCAAGTATTTCGCATTAGTCGTACAAACTTTCGTTCTTGAGATAATAGTACTGCATTATATATTCTTGTAATAGTCTTATATTATAGAGTAAAACACAAATAATGTATATAATTTTCTAATAGAAATAAAGCAATTTAACGGCGTAATTTATAAACCTGATTTGGAATACGCGATGGTTTCATATTGCAAATACTAGTAAATTATTAGGTTAATGTAATTTGTCTCATTACTCTTAAAACTGTTGTAAACATTAATAAACCACAAACATTTGCCAAACATTTAGGCTAACTTTTATGAAACCTATATCAATAATCAGTTCTGGCTTATGGAAGTGGTTCCTAAAGATATTCAGCGTTTGTGTTTAAATTTGAAGACGTCCAGTCTATTATGAAAAAATACAACTTTTATTTATGTGAAAATTCAGTTAGCTAAATTTTAAACTGTGTAATTTTAGTGATACTCTAAATTAGCCACAATGAACTCTTCGATGTTTTTTTTTTTACCTTAATTATAAGTACAAGTGCTCCAAATTTCTCAGTCTTGTATGATCAAAGATTACGGATGCTAATGAGAATTTTCCAGCTTCCAACTCTTAAAACCCTGTTAATGTATACCTGAATATATAACATAAAAATATAGTTGACACAGCTTGTCATGTATAAGCGTTTGTTGTGAACTTAACTTTTCTTTCTCAGTAAGCGATTCCGCTTTGTAAATAACTTGATACATATGTGATACCTACTGCATACATTTTGAATCTGTTCGTATACAAATATATATGTATACAATGTATTTTTATTGTGCACAAGAACAACTGACAGTTTTTATTCCGTTGTTACTTACAACCGTATCCAGTTACCTTTTGTATTGAATACTTTCTTCATGTAATGCAATGGAGATAATACCCACACAGTCTTGTACTTTGCTTATGGTTATTATGGAGTTAGATGCTTACGTCTGTTCGATAGAACCAATATGCATTCGGGCTATGTTTTATGGACGTCGAAGATATTTGCTTGAATTATGTCTTGGGAAATCGATAAAAGACGATAACCACAATTACAGTTTTTTTTCAATAATTGCGTACATAACATTTTATACGGTTAACAATCCTATTGGGAACTACTATAATACTATAATACTATAATACTTTTAGCTCATTGCATATCAAACAAAACTCATTTTTGATCTCTCAATAATTTATAGCATAATAAAGAAATTTTGATATTTTTACTATTATGAGTATTCAATATTAGCTAAGGGGTAACACCACAGTAACAGCCTAAAAACCATGTTATATTCTAAAAATACCACAATCTATATCCAAATACAAAATAATTTTCCATTCCAAATTGATTTATCTAACCCATCTAAATTAAATTCAAATTAAATAATGTTTACAACATACTGATTTGGATGATAATCTTTGCTTTTCTAATTTGTAAATAAAAGATATGATCTTTATTCCAAGGAATTTGATAAAAGTATTAAATATATCTAAATATTATAATATCTGACATAAATTCCAAATTATCATAATATGCATCGCATTCGCGGTATTTGTTATTGGAGGAAACTTCTTTGCCAAATTTGCGCACGGTGGAGCGATCTTGTATTATTTTCTTCATGTTGAAACTTTTAGGAAAAACAAATTTAGATTAATTTGATTATATGTACTAAATAGAAAAATTGACTTGCATTAAAATTTTGAATATAAACATATTAATATTACAAATATTCATAAAAAAGTTGATATAAAAAATTGCGATTGATTGAAGTATAATATTCGAAGTCAATTTCTTTATTAGATAAAATTCAAATCCAAATCATTGACTTAATTAGAATTTTTTAATGCAAATTCTAAAACTTCAACATTACTATAATTTAATATATACATGCAACACTACTAATATTGATCTCTTTTTATAGTACTAGTTATAATGTTGTCGTGTAAGTTTAAGTGCCTTAAAATCATTGAACTTCTGAATTTCATGTGATAGCTGCTATGCTTTGGCATAATTTTCTCTTTGCGGAATAAATTTATCGCTGTTATAAATAAATTTGCACCGATAGTGCACATCGGCAAGGACGGGGCTAACACGAGTTAGTTCCTACATTCTACGAGTTACATAACGTATAATTTTACGCGTTTTCTGAACGGCGATGGCATGTAATGTAGAGAATGTTTTATATTATTAATAATATATATATATATATATATATAGCTTAAGGTTGCTTAAATTGTACCCCAGCTATATGTTGTCCCATTTTTATAAATTACAACCTACATTCTTTTTCCTATGATCCATTCATTTTTTCTGATTAATGTTTATTTATCTTACTATATTTCATAAGCGTTGGAGTATTATTAAATAAAACAATTTCTTGTAAAAAAGTAAAAGCACCTTTTCCAAACATGAAAAATATAGCAAATTCTTGGACTACTG